CCTAGACTAGCCAGGCCCAGTTCCTGCAACCCTCCATCGTTTGTTTGAACCTCCAGTCCCCTCATCATCCTGGTTGCTCTTCTCTGCCCTCTTTCTAGAGTCTCAAAATCTTTTTTTATAGTGTGGTGACCAAAAGTGGATCCAGTACTCTAGGTGTGGCCTTACTAAGGCTTTATAGAGTGGTATCCCTGAGATTCACAAAGCAGTTAAGAAACAACTGAGAAAGATTTAAGGGAGACCACAGGGAAGAAAATAGCCAGAGAAGGCACTTACCCCCGGGGCTGGAGGCTGCAGGGGAGTGGTGCTAATGTCGCTGTGCACCGAGGAATCCAGATCCGAGAGGTCACTGACTGAACGCAGAGACGCCACGCTGCTCGTCATGGGTGCCATAGAGAAGAACATCTCTGCAGGGAGATAGAAGGGAAATGGGTGGGAGGTTTAGCATCTGTTAGTGGCGGGGGGGGGGGATCCGTGGTGGTCTTTGAGCTTGGTGGTTTTCTTGCAGACGTTTTATTACCCAAGCTAGGTAACATCATCAATGCTAGAAAGAAGTTGGGGATGGGGAGGCGGAAGAGGGGGAGGGGGAGGAAGGGAAGGAGATGATGATGATGATGATGATGGAGGAGGAGGAGGAGGAGGAAGAAGGGAAGGAGAAGGAGGAGATGGAGAAAGCCGGCTGTAAAGTCCTTGGTGCTTCCTGAGCTTGATGGTTTTCTTGCAAATGTTTACTACCCAAGCTAGGTAACACCATCGGTGCTAGGAAGAAGTTGGGGAGGAGGACAAGGAGGCGGAAGAGGGGGAGGAGGAGGAAGGGAAGGAGGAGAGATGATGATAATGATGATGGAGGAGGAAGAGGTCTGTGAGGTCCTTGGTGCTTTCTGAGCTTGGTGGCTTTCTTGCCAATTTTTTATTACCCAAGATAGGTAACATCATCAGTGCTAGAAAGGAGAGGGAGAGGAGGAGGAGGAAGAGGAGGAAGAGGAAGAGGAGGAGGAAAAGGAGGAAGAGGAGGAGGAGGAGGAGGAAAAGGAGGAAGAGATCTAGTTGACCTTTGTCAAACAGGACACGAACATGTGGGGAATGAAAAACATGTCTAGTTTCTGGAGACAATTTCCAAATCTGGAAATGTTTGTAGGTTCTCACCTTTTTTTTCTTCTATTCATTAATTGTTTATTTATTAAGCAAATTTATATAGCGACCCATCTCAGGCCTACGTGAGTCCAGGCAGCTGACAAAATTCTAGACCAGAGGTTCTCAACCTGTGGGTCGCAACCCCTTTGGGGATCGAACAACCCTTTCACGGGGGTCACCTAAGACCATCAGAAAACACATATTTTTGAGGGTCTTAGGAACCGAGACACCGGCATGAGGACAATCAGCGCCCAGCCAATTGCGACACGAGACGCACCGGTGGGTGGATCGGACAGCTGCGCTTGACGAGGAGAGGGGGGAGAATGGAGCCCCTGAGCACCAGCGAGGGAGCGCCGAGAGGTGGCTGGGCTGAACTCAGCCTCCCAGCACCGAGGGGAGGGGACGCCAGGAGAAGGAGCCGAGAACCAACGCGGGAAGGATGGCGACGATGTCCCTTCAGTCCGCAGCTGCCTCCTCCTCAGAGACTCGGAGGTTTATGCGGGCGCTCTGCAGCAGCTGCCTCCTGGCATTCGGGTTTTCTCTGTAAAAACTTCCGTCCATTCACAAGGAGACCTGCCTTCGTTTGCTTCCTGCAATATCTATGAATGAATTGAGCGGCTGGAAAACTTGGGAGCGAGAGGATTGCAGGAATTTAGGGGCGGAGGGGAAAAAAGGTAGCCGTCAGCCGCTTTGAAAAAAAATAAAGCACTACATCTTTTTAGTTTTAAGTTTTAAGCTTCCATGCTTAGAATGGAATGGAATGGAATGGAAAAATGGAATGGAAATGAAATAGGAATAGGATGGAATACTTGGACTTAATCTTCGTAAATGTCAACGTCCATAAGGCAGTGAACATTGCATTGTGAAGACCAGGGCCAGGACGTCACGGATTACAGCACGCCATTGATTCCGATTTAGGGCGGCTTGTTGGGCATCGGTTATCGAGAAATGGAGTGGTTGAAGATCGTGAGCCA